GGCAATTGTTCCTTGCTATATGCCCTGAGCGGAAGTTCTTCATGAACTTGAACCCTCTGGATATCCCACTCCCTTAACGTCAGGTTTTTTTTTTTCAAAACTCAAAGGCTATGTAAACACAAATTGCTATGATTCAATCGCTTGAATTCAAATTCTTATGTTTAGCTTGCCTGAATTCAATTTGAAATGATGGCTGAGTCAGCTTAACTTGCCACCCACACTACGCGCTAACAGAAACCTGATAAAAAACGCGCATGAATTCTCTCAAATTGGTTCAGTTGGCCATTTTTATAACTTCCATGACTTTACCAAGAATGATCACAGGCTAAAAGGCTGAATGTATTTTTAAATGAGCTCAAGCTGTTCAGAGACCATTCAGATAATATGAAAAAAGTTGTAATAGCTTGAACAGAGGCGAAGCGGACTTTGCACTACTTTTATGCAACAAAACTGACAAAGTAGCCGACAGAAAACCAGATGAAAAAATGATAATGTAAAATCACATCAACCAATTTTTCTCGTCTGTCTTGTCTCAATTTATTTAAATAAAACTAATTTTGATTTACAAAATCAAATTAACACAATTACCAGTGTGAAATAAACCGACAATGCTTAAGCAGACACCCGTGGAGATGAAAAAAAAATTCAGAATCTTAAACACGTATGAAAAAATTTAAGTCTCAACGTTAAAAAATACCCTTAAGAAAATTTTTCGCTCATCAAACCACGAATGACGAGGCATTAAGGGCGATTTAATATAAGCTGAAGTACTTTGAGCCGAATCTTGAGAGAATAGATAATTGAAATATTTCAATTTGGTGTTGGTAAATTAACAACCAACCTGTAACATATTTTCATTAGAACGGTTATTTACGATTAAGACGAGCTCAAAACACGTCCCTTGCAGGCATATTATCAGAGGGCTGAGTCAAAAAAATTTATTGACTTGTTTGACAAGTTACTTAACTGAAAAAAAAACGTTCCGATTTCCAAGGCTTTCAAACCGCAAGCGTATTTGGTATGAATTATGTAGTTTTGTACTTGACTGAAATCAGGAAAGTTTAAATAATAGAGTTTTGTTGTTGAATTTCACCTCTGAAGCGCACATATCTGCTGTTCTGCATATCAACTGATTAAATCTGATCATCCAATTCGCTAAGAGTTCTAATTACTACTCCCACTGGCGTTGCCAAAAAAGAAGCGGTATTTATGCACCATTCGGACTATTGCTTCAGGGAGAAAATTTTTTTTGATTGAATTTCACAGAAACGACGCAGAGTTTCGCATCACTTGCAATAAAAAACAAAAAACATATACTGTTTAAAATTACAAAATTGACTGAAAAAAGAGATAAAGCCGACTGTAAAATGACTGTTCCAAGGTTTTAGTGCATTTTTGGAAGAAACACCAGGTCACTTTTTAAAATTTTCAAAACTCCTATAAACTCATTAAGCAAACTCATAACAGGCTAAAGAATAATCATTCTTGAAATCAAAAGTTTTTGCGATCAGATCGTTTTCATAATTTTGCAAATCTTAATTTAAACTCCATTTATTGCTTTTTTAGACTAAATTTTGGACAATTATCTTTTTAATTAAAAAAAAAACGTATTCAGCATTACGTGCACCATTAAATGCAATCAGCGAAAAATTTGAATATTAGAGAAAATTGCTTAAGCCATTTGAAAATTTCTGTGGCAAATAAGACGACACAACAAGCAGACAAAAAAATGTTCATGCTTAAAATTTTTTACTTTAACGAAAATACATTCAGGATGGATTCAATCCCAGGCATGTGCTGTTGCAGGCACGCACGCTACATCTTCGACACAAGTGCTTCACTTGAGATATCACTTCGAGAGATCTACAGAAAACATAGCCGACAGATTGTTGGCGAAAAGACCATGAGCTGAAAGAATCCGAAAAAAACAAAAACATTTAATTATTGTCAAAAAACTTTCAAGAGAAGGAAAATATATTAATTCAAAATTCTTTGAATTAATTTTTTTTTTAAGATTTCGCGCCATATCCGATTTCGTAAAGGAGAGTTAAATTATCTTTCAATTTAGCAACTGAAATTGAACTGAACTAGAAACACTAAGAGGAATTCGAACTTCGCATCATTTGTGATACCACACAAACATAGCATTGTAAAGGTAGCAAATACAACATGAGGCCGAAGCAATTATGGCTTCCAAAAAAACTTCATCTGTCAAAAATTCATAACTTTTTCTCGGTGACGTTAAATTTGAGAAAAAATGTCGCAAACACAATCGCCAGCGCAAAAATTTTGCACGGCAACACGACAGAATATCTTATTTTCATTCAAACACCTCTTTGAGTTAACATTCAAATTTATGCATAGATTGTTGATTCAAGTTGTTAACCTAGAAAAACCATGTTACGATTTGATTACACTTTTAGTTTGAGCATTTATAACGACTTATCTGAAATTTCACAAGAAAAAAAGATAGCAAACAGAAAGTAGCTTAAGTTTTAACGCGCCAAATGAAATTAAAAAAATGATTTTTTGAAACCATTTTTCAATTATTGAGTGAAGAAATACCTCACTTCAAAAATTCAAGAACCTTTCAAGATCGACATTAGTTTTATAAAACAAATTCAATTAGAGAAAACTGGGTCTAGAGTTAATTTGATTACACCGCTGGGAAATGTAATACGTTCAGACCGTTCACTTTGAACATTAAAACTAATTCATGTCTTTTTGTACCATTTCCAGTTTCTAAATCGGAGAGCTTAGATAGCCTGTCATTTTCGGAATGAAATTGCATTGAGCTTAAAAACAAGACTTAAGTCAAACCTCGAAAGTCAAATTTGAGTGTGAACGAAGAAGACTATTTCTTGATTCTTATAAAATCACAAGACCTTTCAAAATCTTTACGGCCTAAAAGCTCTTTGAATTTTAAAACCAACCAATGAATGATAAAATTATCTACATTTGAAAAAAATGATTAATGGATCAAAAGATAGGTTTATTCTGCTGGTGAAACTGAAAATCAAAATCCACTTTTGAAATTAGAAGTCTTGCTACACTTTGCTGTTCGATAGTGGAGTTTACCTTCGTTTTAACAAAAGAAATGATCTGAGCTTGAAAAAAAATTGAAAGTCAAACCGCGAAAAGTAAAAGAGCCTGCACAAATTTCAACACTTCTCAGGGAAAAAAAAACAAGGAAAAAAATCATCGCGACCTATATAACAGTCTGAACTACGTTCATCGGCTCTAAAACATCAAAATTCAAACCTCGAAAAATTAAATTTTAGCCTACGGAAATTTTACACAGAGGCGAAGCTGAGCTTCGCGCCACTTGTGATACAAATAAAATGTTAAAGTTCAAAAGATAGGTCTCAAACGAAAAGTAAGAAAATAAACATATCGAAGAAATGGCATATATTGAAAAATCTCAATTCGAATCTTATAGAAACCAATTACCCAAAGTATATGAAGGATTGGGGCTTAGCAAACTCCATTCATTTCTCTCTCATAACAAATAGATGGAAACGATAAGAAAAAACTCGGTCAAATGATCAAAAAAATCCTAATTGAATTCGAAAAATTTGCTTAAAGTCATACAACCAAACAACCTGGATGTCCTACAAGCAAAATAGAGGATAAAAAAGCCCTATTCGTTATAAACTATAAACTGCGCTTAAAATGAAGAACAAAATTAAAACAACCAAAATTCAAAAAAAAATTACGTCAAAAGTTAAAAAAAAATGACACAAAAAAAAACTCGCAGAAAACCTACAAAAACTTGAAAAATATATAAAAACATCACAAAAACATCAAACTTATCAAATATGAAAAATTGACAAATCGATTACAACAAAAAATACGCCCGTTAATGAAATGAAAAACACGAAAAATCATTTTTCAAAAACTTCAGCCGGAAAGAACCAAACTCTTAAATATCGGACGATTTCTTTCGTAGACAAAACAGTCATATCAAAATAGCTAAGAAATCCGGAAAATGCTGATTTTTTTCATAAATTTTTGAATTGTTTTCAATATGTAGGATTTTTTTTCGAAAACTTTTGACATAAAACAGCACGCTGTTAAATAGATTTCAAAAGAAACTTTATAAATCAAAAACAAACCAAACCAAACTAAATAAAACCAAGAATAGCTCCACGAATATTTAGTAAGAAACAACCAGAAATCAATAATCCGACTAGCTGAAAATTACATTCAAAAAAAGTTTCTAACAGAAAATTTCTTCGTTTTTTTTTCTACCAGGGAGTTATAGAGTGTAAACCATGTTTACATTTAACCTCTTAAAAAGAAACAAAAAAAATTAATAATTGAAGGAAACAGTAACCAAACTATCGAAAAGAGGTGAACATTAAAGGCGATAAATTTGGTCAAAACATTGTTCAAAGAAATTACAAAGCGGAAGCTAAGCCGACAAAAAAGTAAACCGAAAGCAACGAAGTCGGGAAAATCTAAGAATACCAAAACAAAATCATTTAAAAAACTTGAACTGCAAATTTATAGGAAAAAAAAACACTAATAATGATGCACAGTTAGAGTAATAGACCTATGAGCAAAAATAGGACGCACATACTGCATGCAAGCTGAAATATGTGAACAAAATTAATTACGGGAAAAGTCTAGTACCCGATTGCAATACCCTTGCTTATCGCAAGGGTTAAAATTTTTCCTGAAAAATCAACACGACCTAAATTAGTGTCTTCAGTACGTTCAATGACACTTAATCAAAATTCAAACCGCCAGAACAGAAACCAAAGCGTGATCAAGTTTGAAGCTCTTGCTGAAAAACTGATTACCCACACGACCTGGCGAATAATCACTTCGTTCAGTAAAACATTCGTATCCACAAAAAGGTTCCTGAATCCAAACTCCGGGCTTCTTTTCTAGTGTCGGTGCTATAACTAAACCCAGTTCGTTAAGTAAGTATCACTCAAATATTGTTACTCAGCTGGCAACTAGTCCAGACATTTGTCTCACCAGGAAAAATGTGCTATTTAGTCAAAATATATTCGATGGGTGCAATAGTTTACTCTAATAATTAATCTAGATATTCACAAAGCAACGTCAAAAGGGAAGTTAAAAAAGAACTGCGTGCGTCTCTTATTTGTTTTACAAAGCAGGGTAAAATTTACAGAAAATACTTTTCATGTGGGAGCCACAAATTAATACAAACAAGGTCAAACTATTGCAAAGGCAACATACAAATATGATAGGCTGATTTTTCTTTATAATTAGATTCAAACATTCATCATTCCAGTTTGCCAATCTTAGTCATTAATTACAATTCTCCAATTGATTCAACATCCTTTAGTTCAATTATTTGTCAGCCCTTGCTTCTATCTATTTAGCCAGAGTGCTGACCAGTCCCCTGATCGCGCGCTCAGCCAGAGATGGGGGCAGTGGCAGCACAACCGTTTTGTTCTTTGTGCCAGATATCTGACCCAGGGTCTGCAAGTATCTCAGTTGCACTCCTACAGACGATTCGTTGAGGATCTTCGACGCCTTGGACAAGATCTCTGCCGCTTTGTGCTCGCCATCAGCTCGAATCATCTGCAGCGGAACACATAAATATTAGAGCATCACAATGAATACACCAGAAATTATGACATCTCTATTGGGGTTATTTGGTGCATAATCGGACTATCGATGCTTTTTTTCATCATAGCAAAAACTAATTGATTCCAAACTAACTGATATTACTGAACAAGCTTCTAACAATCAATTTTTTCAAATGGAAGATGAAGGATACTATCAGAAAATTCGTTCAGCTCCGATGATGATCAAAAATAAAAACGGTCTTACTTTCATTTGGTAATCGTATAAAAGAAAATAATAACACGGTCAGTCTAACTGAAATATGATGGTGATTTTTGAACATAGCCTTCAGAAAGTTGGAAAAGAGTCAACGAACGCAAGAAAACAGAAAAAAAATATTGATTTATTTTTTTGAAAAAATCTCAAAATTTCAAAAAAAAATTTTTAAAAAAGATGCCCTTAAAGCTCTATAACAATTTATGATTGACATTTTTTTGATTATATTAACCCAATTCGAGAAAACTGGATCAATAGGTAAATTTTTCACTCCGCTGGAAAATCTGAAAATTAAATTCCACTTTCGAAATTAGAAGTCGATCACGTTTTTCGTGACCTTTCCACTTTCGCTGTTCAATTGTACAGTTTGCCTTCCTTTTAACAAAAAGAAATCAGCTGAACTTAAAAAGAAATCCAAAGTCAAAATGCGAAAAATTAATTTTGAACCGGAACAAATTTTAGGATTTCCTAAAAAAAAACGAAAAAAAATCGCGACCTACTTAAGAGTCTGAACTAAATTCATCGAATCTTAAAAATAGATCTGTCCAACCTGTGCTTTGGCAGCCCTGGTGCTCTCAGCCTCTGCACCCAGCGACCTCTGCAGTTGTGGCGCTAGAATCATGTCCTTCAAGTCCACTCGCAGGATCTTCACACCCCAGTTATGTGCACGCTCCTCCACTATTTCCTATACATTTGACAGTACAGTGTCAAACTGATGTTACATTGAAGGACGTCGCATCGCTAAGACAACCTCATTCAAATTTTCTATGTCCACCGATATTACTTACCAACCTCGCCAGAAATCTCCATTAAAAAGAAGATAACTTAAACTTCATGACAATTCTACATCGATGCTACAGTTGCTAATTAAGAGTCTCGACTCAAATCTTACAGTCAGCTGCAAATTATCAAAAAAACAGCAAGTTGAAGGAACATCAATGAACTTTGCAATTTTATGGGAATGATTTATTTCGCCGCTTATGCTTTAATTGGACGAAATACATCGCTCCTTTTATTGTCTCAAATGAGCATTTTCCAAACCATTTTATCTTAGCGAAAAAGTCGCAAAAGATTCACATTTTAAAATTGGAGCTCAGGGCATCAAAAGTCTTCAGATGATTTTGAAGAGTGCTTCAGGAATTTTCGCAACTTTCTATCTTACTTAACCTTCCGTGTAATCTGTGTTTTGATCATTCATACCAGAATGTCATGAGTAATGGCCATTTTAGCTGCCAGTATCTCCGGCAGAGTCCTGAAGCCCAGCACAGTTCTCAAAGCAGTCTGAGCAGACAGGGCCACCGACTGGGCCACATCCTCCACTTTGGTGACAGACTTGACCGGGTCAATGACCTCATAGAACACGATGCCATCCACTCTGCACGTCACACTGTCCCTTGTCAACACCTATCAAACAAATACATGATATAGATGTGATAAGATCCAAGAACAACCGTTTTTCCCTGAAAAATTGAGTCAGAAAAAGTCGGGGGCAAGATGATAAGATGTCCCTACTCAATGGCTACAAAAAATAGAACAAAATTCGCTTGACATATTGAAGCACACACTATTTTACACGTTATCTTTTTTGCATTAGCTTAACTACGTCGCTGAACTTTTTCTACCAAACATTCGCTCTCACTTAAGAAAAAATACACCAGAAGATTTTCCTGAAACACTGACTCAAATCTGGCTTATTATCAGTTCAATTTCTAGCTTTGAACACACCATTTTCTTTTACACAGACTCTCAGTGTGTTTACCTCCTGAGGTGGGACGTTGATGGTCCTGGTTCGGACATCTACTCTGGTGACTGAGTCAGTGCAGGGTAACTGGAACACGATGCCACTCGGTGTCTCCTTCGATTTGATCTTGCCCAGTCTGAAGATCACTGCACGCTCGTAAGTGTTCAACACCTACATCACAAAAACATTGTTGGCAGCAAGATCACTTAAACAAGAATGCAGGCATTTAAACTAGTGATCTATACATTTTTAGACCGTGCGAAGACCATGCATTTATCAAAGACAATTGCTCTTAAGGGGAGCGGTGATTATGTCTCCGCCTCTCAATCGAAAGGTCGGATGTTCCAGGCCCACCATGATCCGTGCTCGTTGCTTGAGGGTGAAGCAACATTATCCAGCCCAGAAAAATAACAAAAAATGCATGTAGTTCTTAAACAGGGGCACAAGAGCGGCTCGCAGTGATGAGCTGTACAGCTCGTATGTTAGTCCTTTTCCTCGTGGATAAATGATTATAAGCTCTTGCTAATGTAGTGATCAACATGGTCAAGATTCAACTTTCATGCAAATCGGCATCACAAAATGCTTTGAAAGATCAATCTGATTACTCATTTGCTGTGGGTTGTCTAAGTTTCATTCATTGTATATTGGCATTTATCAGACGCACATACCTCTACTGTGAGCAAAAACTTTCTTCAAAATTTTGATCGCTCGTGACTCTTTTCCAATCCCTTCTCCACTTTACACTTTCAGTTTTGAAAACTTACTCAAACGTTGTCATAATGCGATGAAACTTGGCAGTGAACAAACTAACAATTACAACAGATTTGTTCTTGATACTTTATATCGAATCGTAAAATCACGCATTTTCATAAAAACAGGTAAATTTTGAAAGTATGAAAACTGAAATTTTGAAATGAGGGGGAAAAGTTAAAAACCGCTACATGCTCATAAACAATATCACCGGCTAAAACTGACACCTCAAAACAATGTGTACCTGGATGGCTTGGAAAATAGCCAGTGGGAAGAGGAGGACCAGAATAATGTAGGAGATTCCCACAAGGATCATGTCTCCCACTTCCGTCTCCGACTCCTCCAAAACCGGAACTTCACTCTTAGTCGTGTTTGCCGAAGTGGGTCTGTTGCCTGGGCCACCTGATGGAGGGATGAAAGCTCCTCCCCCACCTGCGCCAGAACTGGGACCCGGTTTTTGAATATCCTCCATTTGCATAATTGCTGCAAATAGTAATAAGATAATAAAAAATTAAACACAGAGGCGAAGCGGAGCTTCGCAACAGTTGTAAGGCAAACAACAAATTGCGCTACAAAATAGTGAATGAAAAAAGACAGAAGCCAAAAAATTTAGGAACATTTATTTTGGAAAAAATTTCTTGACAAGAGTTAAGAAACTACAGCAACAAAAACTTCATATTTGTATCGGATGAAAATCATAAAAAGCCCGTAAAAATGGAAATCAATTACCAAGCGGCAACAAAGGCGAAAAACTGAAGTGTCGAAACCTGTTGAGCCGAAAACAAAACGGTTGTCATGAAATTTTTTATAAAATTTAAAAGTTTTTACGACCCATTCAAACCGAAACACATAATCCCGAACGGGTATTTTTTGCCCTCGAAATTTCGCAAGATAAGTTGACTAAGTCGATATACCCTAAGCATTTGAAAAACTGTTTAAATATTTGAAAAACAAAACGAAACAAAAATAAAACAACTCAAAATCACACACAGTAAATTTCAGTTACAGTCAAAAAACTGTTTATATTGGAACAAAACCCATGCTTTAGAAAACAACCCAAAAAAACCTGGCAGATAAAAAATCATTTAAAAGACGGAAAATGAACCGACAAAAACTAGGACGGAAATTACGAACCCGAAAAACACAGACTTTTTAGAAAAGATAATTACAACCTGCAATTTGAAAAGATGATAACAACCTTAAACTAAAAGATCCTTTGAAAAAGAGATCGTCGAGAAATGAGGACAATTCTCTACGGGAAAAAATCTAGTACCCGATTGCAATACCTTTGCTTATCGAAAGGGTAATAATAAAAACAGTTGGAAAAGTGTACATCGTATTCGAGCCTGCAACCTCGAGATTTGGAGTCTCGCGTCCTACCAGTTCGGTCACGCACTCTGAACAACCGACAAACACTAATCACCAATAAAGCAGCTACTTATGCTAATCAATTGCCATTGCAATGCAGCAAAAGTGTCACCAAATACAAATAGACAAATTTTGGCAGGTAATAATTTGGAATATAACAAACTGAAGGCATCCACGCTAACTTTGCATTGGATAAATTCGATAACATAGAACCAAACTATGTAAAAATTAAACATTTCCAAAATATTGCAAGATATATTGAGTTGGAAAATTTCTGAAATCGAGTTCTTATTATTGCACTGTTGTTTGAAGCAAATAGCTTTTTTCGGTTCATTTAAACAATGAGAAATGCATCATTTGTGTAAACTTATTTCTAAACGAATGTCAAAGCACATGCGTTCAAAAAGCTGTAAATTTGCCCCAAAAATGGCCCCCATGTTTGCAAATTAGGTTAGAAAAAAGTATAGTCGTACTTTTATACTACGCTCACTAAAATTCGTAAGTGTAAAATTGCAGGAACTCAGAACACTAAAAGCAACTACATTGAAAATTTCCTAAGAAAATCAATTCTGCGATGTGACCAATAAGCCGGCAAAACATAAGCAGACAAACTATAGGCTGATATTTTTTGGAAAAAACCTGGTCAGATTCAAACCCACGACATTTGCCGCCTCATGCGTATTGTTCACCTTCAGGCTAAAAGCCGGACTCGTAGAAGTTTGAACTCGATATGAACCAAGTTACACGTGATTCTGTTAAGCAAGTTGTTATCCCGAAAAAAAGTCTATATTCCGATTTGATAACGCTTGCTAATAACAAGCCTAAACAGCGAAAAATCAAATTTGAGCGCGAACAACTTTTGAAACAAGAAATCAGCACGAACGATATAGAATTCCCACTACGATCAATGACTCTGTAAAAGACGTATGTTATAATGTTTGGATCCAAGTATTGATGCGCTTCAACAATACAACCGTTAACAAGGTTCATACAAAAAGCATACGTTAATTGTCTCAAACTGTTAAACCCCCATAAAATACGAAAAATGATCACAGCTGGAATTTCTTTCTAAATTTAAGCTCAGGACAACAAAACTTTGAATATAAAAAATCCCGCCAAAAATAGCTAATGAAAATAGGCTAGTTAAAAATTTGTCTGAAGAAAAAACTACCCCGAGCACAAGTATTCCGCTACTTTCGTTATGAAAGTCGGAACAATAACAGTCTGTGTTAATATCCTTAGCATTGGCTGTACTTAATAGCTGGTTATTGATCAAAATGATTACTTTCAAAATGAACACGTTTTATCGCAACAATATTTGCGTCGCAACAATATTTGCGACTTAGGTTGGAAAAAAAATAGTTCATACTATAACACAAGCATTGCTCGTGTAGTAAATTACCACTTACTAGGACCACCTTGTGCATGCGGTGCTCCATAAGGACTTCCTTGAGGCGGATGTTGTCCATACCCTGGTTGTTGTACATAGCCCGGTTGTTGTCCATAGCCAGGTTGTTGTCCATAACCAGGTTGTTGTCCATAGCCAGGTTGTTGCCCATACACAGGTTGTTGCCCATAGCCCGATACTCCCCCTGCATAGCCATAGCCAGCTCCCGATGGGTAATGTTGCTGCTGGGGAGCCCCTTGTTGCCCATAAGGGAATCCTGCTCCAGCCTGTTGATTTGGGTATCCACTCGAACCCTTAATAAATATATTTCTCAGCCCAACAAAATTGGCATCAATTTCCCTATGCACTGATATATTAAGACCTTTCAAACAGCATTCTATAATTTGCGAATGTTGGTTAAAAGTAGAAAGTACCGAATAAAAACAACTACTAGGTTCAGAAGTTTCAGTATGGTGTTTGATGCAATAGTTTATTTGAAATTAGCTGCAACTGTACCTGCTGCATAGGAGGTGTAGTGACCTCGACATGACTCTGGGTCAGTGGGGTCTGGTTACGACTCGCCCGCTCTCCAGCAGCCACTGCATCTCCCCCACCTCCCCCGGCAGCCCCAGTATCTGCTGCAGATTCCGCAGTCGCCACTTTGATCACTTCGGCTTAACACACAAAAAAGAATAAGACACAAATCCCAACAAAAAGGCTTCAGTAATAAGTCAAAACAAGGATACTCATTTGATGCGTAAATACTAACGAAGTTTCTGACTACAGGTTCTTTTTATGAAAAAAAAAACTTTTAAAAAATGCATAGATTTTCAATTATAGCTTTTCGATTTTTTTCAAAATTTAGTCCTTGTCATTATTTCATGCGTGTGACCGGAGAAACTAAATGCTAGCTAAGATCTTGCTAGCTAAGGAACTTTGTATTTTTGTGTTGTTTCGAAAAAAATTTAATATGATTAGCAGTCGACCCTATTTGCTGTACTTCATTTTTCAAACTTTTTTGCTGTACCTCATTTTGCAAGTATAGAAACAACACAAAGTTCCTTTCCACTTGGTGATTTTTAAAAAATGTTATATTGGTCCAAGCCCTGGTGTAAAATTGGGTAAACCCGGTCCAAAATTATCTGTAAACTGAAAAGCGAGTCTTTAATAAGCCAATCAATTAGCCCACAGAAACAGAGGATCTCTTTTTGTGCTAGTTCATTTAGGAGCGAGTAACCGCATTGTTATTCAAACTATCAAGTTAAGACTTCAAAAACAAAAACATTGCCAGCCTAAACAGTCAGAACAGCAAAATCTTTTTTTTTGCAAATCCTTAGGTTGTGATATAACGAAAGACACAACGCGACACTAAGGCAACGCGACGACATTACATTTTCTGCGCCAAGCAGATGTTCTTCGGCACTTTAAAAAAAATTGGAATAAAAAAATTGCGTTAGTACATATTCGCGCCGCAAAGATTAGGGTTGGTCTGCCGACTGTGGATCTCCCATAATCTGCCCCTGCACTACGGTATTAAATTCTACTGATCAAACTCTAAAGAGTTGTAAGTTCAAACAGCTTCCTTAATCACTGCTGCTTTAACATATTTCCTTATCAAGAAAAATTTTAATTAAAAACTTGACTACAAAGTAGTGACCATTTCCTCAATAAAAGCACCTCACCTGACGACGATCTCACAATTTGTTGAAACGATGAAAGAGCTACTGAGAACACTTCAATAGTCAATTATGGTTTGCAATTGAATATCCACTAATATAAATAGCACTTTTTATTGCTCAGAAAATGCTTCAATTTGGTACTAATATCGATAAGAAAAAATGCGTGCGCATTTTAAACGCAAGCTAAGCTAAGGAAGTTTTTGTTAATAAGACGTGCCGTGGTTTTTTGTACAAAAGCAAGGCAATAAAAATAACCATGCGTCACGGATGTAGCTTCGATGCTAAAACACGTGATGACATATAAACTAAACTGCGTCTCTTATCGAGTTTAACTCGCCACCAATTCAAAATACAAAGTAATTAACGAACCGCACAAAACTTGAAAAGTTGAATTACCTTTCAACTAAATAAGCATACTTGAATTACCTTTTAACTATCAAAGCAAAATCTCATCAGGGCATGCATGCACGATGACGACAACGAGCTTTCATTTGTACTTTTTTTTCGCCATTACCTATATCCATACTGTTTCATGAGTTGGGTACTGTAACACAGGACCTTAATAAATTAAAACCACTTCATTCAAAAACAATTCAAACAGAAATCGTGTTTCCCTAACTTTCGTAAATTTGATCTTACTTTAGTTTTGCCAATTTCTCAAAACATTGAATAAAGTGCATCACACATCCAACACACTCCAACATATGGTAATCGTATTAGATCGTATATTCGGACAGTTTAGAGCACAAGTCTCCGTTGATTGATTTTTTAAGTGACAAAGAGAAAACTGAAAAAAAAGAGAACAAATTTTTATTAAACCGTAGATTAGAAAACAACAGAGATCAAAACCGATGCAGAAATAGTCCAATTTTTAAAAAGCATGACAAAAGAGTCGGACCTCATAAAACCAAATTCACAAAATGTAAATCAATTAAGAAATCTTTGAATTTCAAAAACCTCTTGTTTGTCTAACAAGAATCTTCAGCTATTGACTCTTTGTAGAAAGAAACATATCCAATTCTAGAGAACTGGATCAATAAATTTTTTTTCTTAATGCTGGTAAACCTCCAAACCAACCAACTTAAAAAATAACAAATCAAGCGCAATTTCTTGCTTCTCTATTTTCTTACGCTCGCGGACTAAATCCCCCAGGATAAAATCCCACCGGAGATAACCCCCCAATAGACCAAATCCCCCTAGGACAAAATCCCCCATTATTTGTTTTAATATCCCCCACATAATCGTTAAGCAAAAACGCAACTCTGAAAATTAAATTACACTTAGTGACCATAAATAGAGTTAAGATTAAAGTAGAAGCATAAACATAACTAAAACAAAAATAGAACTAAATTAAGATGATAAATTAAGAGCGATAGCTTTCAAATAGTCAATCTCCTTGTAACTAGCCGCTGAACATACTATGCGTTTTTTAAGCCCAAAGTTCTCTTCCTTCCTCGCGTGCACTCTCTTTCCCAACTGCAACTGAGACAAAGTGAAGGCCTGCAAGGATTGACGTCTCCGGATGGCTTCGACGAATTTCCAGATATCTGACTTTGACATCTGCAGCATCGACTCAAAACTGTGGTGAAACGTTTCAAGAGCTTTGTTTGCTCATGGCAGGTCGTCAATTGTACGGAAATAGACTTTCCACATATCTTTGTGGAATCTGGCCTTCCGTGAGGCATTCCGGTTTTACTTTCCGACAAAAGTATCCTCAAAGTAACTTTGTATGTCCTCTGGTATCTCTTGATCACAATTTTGTACCAAACTTCTTTATGAAGTGGCGGTGCAAAATCAAGCGCAGCCAAGAGGCGTATCATCATCAATTACTGCTAACAAAACTAAACGTATGACCACGTAGAGTTTTGGTCAGTCGACCCAAAATCATAAAGCCAGTTCCAAAATTTGAGATCAGACGCGTGACTAAAGATCAGTTGAATATCTTCAGTTTCAAGTTTTAGTTTTTACTTGACAAATCGAGCTTGAGTCTAGTAAGTTATTTCGATGCCACCCTTTTCTTCCTGGAAATTGCTTGCTAACAACAGCAAGCAAGATACAGGGAAAATCTCGGCATTGAAATGTCAGGCTCACGAAGAATATGGTCGAGCTGACGCCAACAAAGTTTCTCTATGCGAGATGAAAGTGGAGTTGTTTTCGATACTTTGTAAATGGAATCGTTAGATATCCGGTTAGGCCACTTGTTAAAAATGAATCGGAGGTGTGATCTTTGTGTAACATTCAGCTTCTGTAGGTACTCTGACGCCGCAGCCCAGCTGCCTGCGTTGTACATCATTGTCGAGACCACTAGGGTTTCGTATGCTCTGATTCTCTTTGCGAGGGTCAAGTTTTTCTAGACTGCCAAACCTTTTTGAAGGAGGCAAGCGCACATTTCCCTCGTTAATACGTTGCTGGATGTCGGACTTTGTGCAGAGGTGAGATCCTAGCAATTTGTTTTTGTGCCACTCTTCGTTGCTTTTAATCAAATTGCCATGTTCGTCTTTTTCGGTGGTAGCGATATACACTTTTGTGAGTTCTGTTTTGCTTGCATTCATCATGAGGTTCCATTTTCCTAAGCATTCTTCAACAAATGTAGTGTTAATGCTACTCAGTTGATCAAAATCTTCAAAAAATGTATTTGACATCATCAGCGTATTCAGATTCCAGTGGGAGAGAGCACTCACTATAAGGTGGGTTTGGTCTGCTGAGAAGGGAACGGACCAGACGTAAAGCGTCAGCTAGATACAAAATGAAAAGGATGCCAGAAAGATAGTCTCCTTGGAAACTGTCAATGGTATTTTCAAAAACTTTTGCCGACCTTCACTTGATGCCGCGTGTCTGCTAGAAGTATCCTCACAATTCCCAAATCGTCTCAACTCCCGCCTGCATCTTCGATAACATCGAGAATTGTGTTCCGCTTTATTATATCGAAAGCGTTCGACATGTCTATGCCGAGTTTCTCAAAGTGCCATTTTTCTTCACTACTATGCTCAACAGCATTCCCTGGTACCAAACAATGTAGCCTGTGCCTTTTCCGCTTTTATAGGCGCACTGTGCTTCTTCTGTGTAATTCTATCAAAGGCTTGATAAGCTCCAGTGCAATCAATGATAGCAGTTTGTGCGTGCTGTTCAGTAGAATGATGGGTCGCAGATTTGCTAGATGACCTCGTGATTTTTGTGGTTTTGGGAGTGGTACAAAAAAAACAAATTGGACAAATTGAAATCTTTGTCCTCCCGATATTGAACGGCATAACCGAATTCAAATATCTTTCTGTAGATAGATTGAGAAAAATGAAAAAAAAACCTTAATTTTGGTTTCTGGGAAATTGTCCCCCACGGAGTTTATCGAAGCCATTTCAAAGTCCATCATAACAGAAACTGCTGCTTTCACGTTTGACTTTAGCTTGGACCAGAGTGCATTGTATAAATATTGTCGCTTATCAGGGAGTTCGTAAATGCAGGGGAAAGTTGTGCCGTCAACAAAACAATGCACTGTGTAGACATGGTAGAAGTTTTCTGGTCAGCTTTTAAATGCTCTATCGATGAACCAGCTTCCATAACTGTTGAGAAAATCAATATTTTTGCTACTGGCAAAAACCAAGTATCGCTTTACGCTTACCGGAACCACTGAATCTTCTCGAAGAAAATCTTCTTCATTTTGTGTCTGCATATACTTGACTGGTAGCTCAAAACGAAACCAGTTGGGATGTGTGGGCGGCATTTATTTTCTTGGCAAATTCGTCTGACTTTCCTTTTGATGTTGGGGACTAAATGCATCTTCGAGGAACATTAAGATGTCGCGTTTACTAATGCTGAAGAAAGTAATTTGGTGCGTAGAGACGTCTGTGCAGGTCGCCGCGTCCTTTTTGGTTTTCGCATTGATTGCATATATTTCCATTAATGCGAAATCGGGCCCGTGCGCATATTCATGTGTTGAACATTTTACATACTCTCTCTTTGATGTCCAAATACTGGCTTAGCATTTCTGCTTTGATCTTCTTAGTTCGCATTCCCATTGCACTGAGTTGGCTGACTCTCGTTTTTAAAGCAGGCGTAATTCTTGTATATGACCTTTTGCCCCCTGTTTTACTCGAGACAAAATTAACTTTGCATTGTTATTCAACTGATAATCATTGCTTCTAAATAAATTGCAAGTGTTCTAGAAAATGAATGAAGTATTTCATCCGGAGCCATTTGTTGAATTGCTAAATGGGGGATTAAAATGAGTCACACATGTTGCGCAAGCTGGTATCACAACTGTTAACTTAAATTTTGTCCCATGGGGGTAAATTCAACACCTTTTGTTCGAAACGTCTTCTTTGAGATTCGAACTCACGCCGAATGGCTCAACTTGATTTAGTTTTATGGGCTTACTGACTGTGCCACTTGGCTTGTTATTTTTGGTGATAGAATCACTCTCTTGTAAAAAGTCGAAGGAAAGTTGGATAATTCAAGTTTCTAAAAAGTCAAGTCAAAATGGCGATGCATGTCTTTTGTTTATATGGAAGTCAAATTGAAGTAGCTTTTATTGAAAACTCAATTCATAATGCCACAAACATATACTTTTACATTCCGTAGATGATAAGTTAAAATATGGGTGATTTAACCCTATGGGGACTTTTATTCCGAAGGATTTTATCCTGGGGATTTTATCCTGGGGAACTTTGTCCTGGGGGACTGCATCCTAGACCTATTTTCTTATAGGATAGAGTTATTTGCTTTTCGTTTGTTCAATGAATTAGATGATGAACTTACAAAAAAATCTCAGGTCAAAAAGCCAAATCATGAAATGATCGTGATTAAATTTTCAGTTTTCCTTGGGAAAAAATGGCCTAGTTAAGTAGAAACTCACTTTGCTCATCACAACTAGCAAAAATTACGTGCTGCATTTAGGAGGACTCTCTGAGGTTCAATTTCCTTATCCATTTAAAAAAGTTTGAAAAAGTTTCTTATACTGCCATTCTAATTTTAACACAGAGGCGGAGCGGAGTTTCGCACCGCTTGCGATATATCTCAGACATATTAGTTGGCCGACAGAAAAAAATTAGACCAAAACCAATAAGCCAAATCTTGAAAAAAAATCTTCATGATCTTCAAATTTCATAATTTTGTCAGACAATTGCCAATGTTGATTATTTTTTTGAAGTGTGAATCGGTCGCTAAGCCAAACACACGGATAGACGCCCGTCAGCAGAAAAAATTAAAAACTCGATACCCCCAACCCAGCGCCCACACGAACAAAAAATTTTTATCGCCCTTCAAACGAAGCAATATCAGACAACTGTGTCGAAATAAGGTAAGCCGAAACCCTTTAGGTCGAATGCACATTTTAATTGAAAGCAAAAAAACTACTTCA